ATTGTCTGTAACATTGACTGTTACAGACAATACACAGTAACAGTCACCTTACAGGCAATACAATGGCACTAAATTCATATCTTTCAATAGTTACCCTGAATGTAAAGGGGCTCAATGCCCCAATCAAAAGACACAGGCTATCAGATTGGATTAAAAAACAAGACCCATCAATATGCTGTCTGCAAGAGACTCATTTTAGACCCAAAGACACCCCCAGATTGAAAGTGAGGGGGTGGAAAACCATTTACCATGCTAATGGACACCAAAAGAAAGCTGGGGTGGCAATCCTTATATCAGACAAATTAGATTTTAAACCAAAGACTATAATAAGAGATGAGGAAGGACACAATATCCTACTTAAAGGGTCTATCCAACAAGAAGATCTAACAATTATAAATATCTATGCCCCGAACATGGGAGCAGCCAATTATATAAGGCAATTAATAACAAAAGCAAAGAAACACATTGACAACAATACAATAATAGTGGGGGACTTTAACACCCCCCTCACTGAAATGAACAGATCATCTAAGCAAAAGATCAACAAGGAAGTAAAGACTTTAAATGATACACTGGACCAAAAGGATTTCACAGATGTATTCAGAACATTCCATCCCAAAGCAACGGAATACACATTCTTCTCTAGTGCCCATGGAACATTCTCCAGAATTGATCACATCCTAGGTCACAAATCAAGTTGCAGCTGGTACCAAAAGATTGGGATTATTCCCTGCATATTTTCAGACCACAATACTTTGAAACTAGAACTCAATCACAAGAGAAAAGTCGGAAAGAACTCAAATACTTGGAGGCTAAAGAACAACCTACTAAAGAATGAATGGGTCAACCGGGAAATTAAAGAAGAACTACAGAAATTCATGGAAACAAATAAAAATGAAAACACAACTGTCCAAAATCCTTGGGATGCAGCAAAGGCAGTACTAAGAGGAAAGTGTATAGCACTACAAGCCTTTCTCAAGAAACAAGAAAGGTCTCAAATACACAACCTAATCCTACACCTAAAGGAGCTGGAGAGAGAACAGCAAATAAAGCCTAAACCCAGCAGGAGAAGAGAAATAATAAAGATCAGAGCAGAAATCAATGAACTAGAAACCAAAAGAACAGTAGAACAAATCAATGAAACTAGGAGCTGGTTCTTTGAAAGAATTAATAAGATTGATAAGCCCCTGGCCAGACTTATCAAAAAGAAAAGAGAAACGACCCAAATCAACAAAATCATGAATGAAAGAGGAGAGATCACAACCAACACCAAAGACATACAAACAATTATAAGAACATATTATGAACAACTATATGCCAGCAAATTAGATAACCTGGAAGAAATGGATGCATTCCTAGAGCTGTATCAGATACTACCAAAATTGAACCAGGAAGAAATAGAGAACCTGAACAGACCTATAACCCCTAAGGAAATGGAAGCAGTCATCAAAAATCTCCCAACAAACAAGAGCCCAGGGCAAGATGGCCTCCCAGGGGAATTCTATCAAACATTTAAAGGAGAATTAATACCTATTCTCCTGAAACTATTCCAAAAAAATAGAAATGGAAGGAAAACTTCCAAACTCATTTTATGAGGCCACCATTACCTTGATCCACATATCAGACAAAGACCCCATCAAAAAGGAGAATTACAGACCAATATCCTTGATGAACATGGATGCAAAAATTCTCACCAAAATACTAGCCAATAGGATCCAACAGTACATTAAAAGGATTATGCACCATGACCAAGTGGGATTTATCCCTGGGCTGCAAGGTGGGTTCAACATCCACAAATCAATCAACGTGATACAATATAGTAACAAAAGAAAGAACAAGAATCATATGATCTTCTCAATAGATGCAGAGAAAGCATTTGACAAAGTACAGCATCCTTTCTTGATCAAAACTCTTCAGAGTATAGGGATAGAGGGTACCTACCTCAATATCATAAAAGCCATCTATGAAAAACCCACAGCAAATATCATTCTCAATGGGGACAAACTGAGAGCTTTCCCCCTAAGGTCAGGAACACGGCAGGGATGTCCACTCTCACCACAGCTATTCAACATAGTATTAGAAGTCCTAGCCACAGCAATCAGACAACAAAAAGAAACCAAAGGCATCAAAATCGGCAAGGAGGAAGTCAAACTCTCACTCTTTGCAGATGATATGATACTTTATGTGGAAAATCCAAAAGACTCTACCCCAAAACTGCTAGAACTCATACAAGAATTCAGTAAAGTGGCAGGTATAAAATCAATGCACAGAAATCAGTGGCATTCCTATACACCAACAACAAGACAGAAGAAAGAGAAGTTAAGGAGTCGATCCCATTTACAATTGCACCCCAAACCATAAGATACCCAGGAATAAATCTAACCAAAGAGGCAAAGGATCTGTACTCAGAAAACTATAAGATACTCATGAAAGAAATTGAGGAAGACACAAAGAAATGGAAAAACGTTCCATGCTCATGGATTGGGAGAACCAACATTGTGAAGATATCAATGCTACCTAGAGTAATCTATACATTCAATGCAATCCCCATCAAAATACCATCCACTTTTTTCAAAGAAATGGAACAAATAATCCTAAAATTTGTATGGAACCAGAAGAGACCCCGAATAGCCAGAGGAATCTTGAAAAAGAAAAGCAAACCTGGCGGGATCACAATTCCGGACTTCCAGCTCTATTACAAAGCTGTCGTCATCAAGTCAGTATGGTACCGGCACAAAAACAGACACATAGATCAATGGAACAGAATAGAGAGCCCAGAAATGGACCCTCAACTCTATGGTCAACTCATCTTTGACAAAGCAGGAAAGAATGTCCAATGGAAAAAAGACAGTCTCTTCAACAAATGGTGGTGGGAAAATTGGATAGCCACATGCAGAAGAATGAAACTGGACCATTTCCTTACACCACACACAAAAATAGACTCCAAATGGTTGAAAGACCTAAACGCGAGACAGGAGTCCATCAGAATCCTAAAGGAGAACACAGGCAGCGACCTCTTCGACCTCAGCCGCAGCAACTTCTTCCTAGAAACATCGCCAAAGGCAAGGGAAGCAAGGGCAAAAATGAACTATTGGGATTTCATCAAGATAAAAAGCTTTTGCACAGCAAAAGAAACAGTCAACAAAACCAAAAGACAACCGACAGAATGGGAGAAAATATTTGCAAATGACATATCAGATAAAGGGCTAGTATCCAAAATCCATAAAGAACTTATCAAACTCAACACCCAAAGAACAAATAATCCAATCAAGAAATGGGCAGAAGACATGAACAGACATTTTTCTAAGGAAGACATCCAAATGGCCAACAGACACATGAAAAAGTGCTCAACATCGCTCGGCATCAGGGAAATCCAAATCAAAACCTCAATGAGATACCACCTCACACCAGTCAGAATGGCTAAAATTAAGAAGTCAGGAAACGACAGATATTGGCGGGGATGCGGAGAAAGGGGAACCCTCCTACACTGTTGGTGGGAATGCAAGCTGGTGCAGCCACTCTGGAAAACAGTATGGAGGTTCCTCAAAAAGTTGAAAATAGAGCTACCATACGATCCAGCAATTACACTACTGCATATTTACCACAAAGATACAAATGTAGGGATCTGAAGGGGTACGTGCACCCCAATGTTTATAGCAGCAATGTCCACAATAGCCAAACTGTGGAGAGAGCCAAGATGTCCATCGACAGATGAATGGCTAAAGAAGAGGTGGTATATATACACAATGGAATATTATGCAGCCATCAAAAGGAATGAGATCTTGCCATTTGCAACGACGTGGATGGAACTGGAGGGTGTTATGCTGAGTGAAATAAGTCAATCAGAGAAAGACATGTTAAATATGACCTCACTGATATGAGGAATTCTTAATCTCAGGAAACTGAGGGTTGCCAGAGTGGTGGGGGGTGGGAGGGAGAGGGTGGCTGGGTGATAGACACTGGGGAGGGTATGTGCTATGGTGAGCGCTGTGAATTGTGCAAGACTGTTGAATCACAGATCTGTACCTCTGAAACAAATAATGCAATATATGTTAAGAAAAAAGAAGAAGAAGATAGCAGGAGAGGAAGAATGAAGGGGGGGAATCGGAGGGGGAGACGAACCATGAGAGACGATGGACTCTGAAAAACAAACTGAGGGTTCTAGAGGGGAGGGGGGTGGGGGGATGGGTTAGCCTGGTGATGGGTATTAAGGAGGGCACGTTCTGCGTGGAGCACTGAGTGTTATGCACAAACAATGAATCATGGAACACTACATCCAAAACTAATGATGTAATGTATGATGATTAACATAACATAATAAAATAAAAAAAAAGAAAAACAATCATGAAGTGATTTACATTTAAATGCAAGGAATTTCAGAACAACATGTTTCATGAAAGCCAAAACATTGAAAACAACTAAATAACCAAAGCGGGTGATTAGGTGATTATATTGCATTTCGGTCGTATAATGAAATAATTGGAAGCAACTAAAATTTTCCATAATACCCTTATAATAGTCCATATTTTTGTCATACTACCACAAAACATTTTAGTGTGTAAAATAAGAATAACAAGATGTCCAAAATATATTGTTAATTTTTAAAAAGAGTTTACAAAATAATAAACACTGAATTGTCCAGTCTTTGAGGGTCTATGTTTCTGTGTATAATGGCATAAACTGTGTTTCAAAGGATAATCTTTTGCCAATGTCCATCATGCATTTCACAGTGGAGACTCCTGAAATGTGTGCCCAATTCAGAAATCATGAAATGCTTTGAAAGGCCAGGACTATTGTTTTACAAAGAGCAAGGCCAATATTGTATGAAATAGAATAAATTTTTAGTAGGATAACACTGAACGGTGTTGGTTCTGGGAACATAAAAAGAATGCTTGCTTTGGTGAAATGTTCTTGCGACCTAAGTTACTACTGAAGAAATTCCCTTTAGTTTTCCTAGTAAGCAGAGGGGGCCTTATATGAGAACACTCATTGTCTCTCACCTTCATGGGACCGAAACTTCTATCTGCACCTCAGTCATCAAGACTCTTCACTAGCATCTGGCCAACACCCATGGAGCAGAAACTTGGAGGGATGGGGTTTCCTGAGGAGAATCATGGAAGGACAGACACTGAGCTCTAGGAGGAAGACAATGAGCACTGACAGCACTCAAAGCTGTAAGCAGTCTCAGCCTGGACTGGCACCCAAATCTGAAAGAGCTGCCTCCTCTAGGCTGAAGGTAAGGGTTTTTGCAGCCTATCCCTGATGGCTGCAGTCCTCTGAGTCCAAGGCTCAGTGGAAATCAACTTTCAGAGAGGGATAGAAGAATGCAGGAGAGAGAAAATGTACCCTCCAGAATTCAGAAAGGACCAGCCCAGGATCCCAGTAAGTCAGGAAATGATTCACAAGGACTGGGGCAGGGACTCAGGAGACTTAATATAACTCTGCTGTGCATCAGTTAATCTCTATTAACAAGGGGCCTCCTGTCATGGCTGCAGGTGCCTCTGATCTACAACAGACACTTGGTAGGAATAGGCGAGGCCCAGAGGCAAAGCCTCTCCCAGAACCCAGTGCGGGGCAAACACCACAGTCAAGCAGAGAGAAGGCTGTCGGACTGAAGGAGAGGAGCCTGAGAGGAGAGGCAGGTGTGAGATTATCTACGATCTGGTAACATACGGGACATGGCACTCCCAACACTGTGGGCACCGTGTGCTTCACAGAGCAACCGACTCAGTCACTTCTCAGCAGCCCTGTTCCTCCCGCACAGACAGCCCTCACATGCTCCCCATACCCCCCTCATACTCACTCTACACGCACACACACAAGCACATAGCCTACAGTCACATAAACATATCAAACATGGAAACCCTGAGGGATGGTCATCTGCAAAGCAGACAATTGCAGTGTGCAAGGAACAGCCCAGGGACACAGCTGAGGTCAATCGCTGGTCCTTCCCACACACAGGGAGCCACCGGGACTAACCAAACACTCCCTGAAAACAAGGAAGACTTTGAATCGGACTGTCACTGACCCATCTCAGTCTGGGTTCAATATCATTTCTCTGCAAAATCTGCCACTATGACCAGTTGACAGCCCAGAGGAGAAGACCCAGTATTCACAGTCAGTGTGGTTCTTTTTTGGTCAAAAACACACGGTTTACACTGAGGCTTTGGCTCCCTGTCTCCAGAAAACTTTCCCTTCACCCCTTACTGTTGATCCCAGGAAACTCACTTTGAGCAGCCACCATGGTGCTAAGGAGGAAACAGAGTCCCTGAAGAGAGAGATTCAAAGTCATCCTGACTCCCATGTCTTCAAGGTCACAGTCCCTGCTGCAAAATAACCCTGCAAGGAGGTATCAGGACACCAGCAAAGGTCTACAGTAATGGGAGGGGAGAATATATAACATATCCTCTGACATCCTCCCTACTGAGAGCCAATAGAGACACACTTTACCATCTAAGATGTGATCGGAGACTTCATCTGCCACTTTCTGAAGCTCAAACACCAATTAGATTCTGAATCTCAAAAATCTCCTTATATGAACAACATGGCCTTTTGACATCATGTTTCCTTAGGTCTCTGAGAACCAGGACTGCATCATGGGGGCTGAAGTAGAAAAGTTACATCAAAAAGCATGAGTGGCTTTCTCTCCTCTGGCAGCTGGTGGCAGACTGAGATCTTTGAGGGTCAGGGTGCCGCGATCAGTCACCATTTGGCCCGGGAGAGGAAGTTTTTGGTGCAATTGAGCATTGTTCTTCCCTGTGACTTAGCTCATGGCTGCAACAGAGAACCACAAGGAGGTTTGAAGTACAAGAATAATTATCAGATAAGCCAGCAGAAAATGAGGACCAGCAGCATAGGAATTCACAGGTGAATGTGGAGGGGTGAGGTGGGAATCAAGTGGAGCAGATGTGATTATTGGTCTTTCTTCCCTTCTCAGAACGATCTGGAGACTGGCGACCTGGAGCACAGAGGAGTTCATAATAACAAGGAGCTTTGATAGAATCTAACTTTTCCCCTTCAGGGATCTTTCTTAACCTTTAAAACCACTCTATCCTGCCTACACATGTCAGCTGGGGCTAAACTCTCCTTTACCAGGATGAGAAGGGGCTATAATCTACAGGGTATTTACAGACCTGAATGTCTAGAGAGCCGGGCTGGTGCCCAGGGCTCAGAGCCCATGGCCTCTCTGTCCCCTGCAACCCCTTCCTCATTCCAAACCAGTCCTTGGGCATCCCTCACTTCCCATCTGCTCTAGCCAAATGACTGATTCACTTGCACCAGTTTTCTTCCAGCATTCCCAGCCCCAACCCCCGCACCCCCCCGCCCCGCCCCGCCACCACCACCACAACCCTTTTGGAATCTCTCTAAATTCCTAGGTTGGTGTAGTGTGAAGTTGAACCCTGAATCCATCTTATCTTGCTATCCCTAATACACATATTCACTCTTTTCATTTTTAATGGTTTTACTGTTAGTCACACCAGAAAAAGAAACAAGGGGAGACAGAACCAACAAGCACTCAGAAGGTATGAGTGCTCACTGAGGTAAAAATTTGTGAGTTACTGGGCATCGCGCATAACACACCATCAGCTAGCATTTATTAACATCCTCTCTACATCATCACATATAAACACTGTGCCACAGGCTCGAAATTAAACAATGAGCAGGACAGACACTATCCCTGTGCTCATGGGGTTCACAGTCTAGCTCGTGGTTGAAGATGTTAAACAGACTAAGCATGTATGGAATTGTTTCACAATAGATATGAAAAATCTATTCTGAAAAAATCCTGTGAGTAATGAGAGGTTACAACATGGAGGCTGTCGGGGAAGCCAACTCTCGCCAGGGGAAGCTTCTCTTTGGAAGGGATATTTCAGCTGATACAAATGAAGGAGTTGGAGTTTGCCTTGAAAGTCAAGTCCCTCAACTCAAGCCTCATCACCCCTCCCTAGACCCTGCCATTGCTGGTAACCACTCCCTTCCAGATTCAAAATGTTTGCATACTGAAATTCTGTTCTCCTAGTTCTTGGTCTTAGTTCAACCACACCTGTCCTTCACCTCAACCCCTCTCCTCCCTTGAATCTCTTGCTCTACTTGAGATAAAATGAACTAAGAGTTGGAGAAAGAATTAAAAATTAGATCACCAAGAGGTGTATTTGAATTGACTGGGGCATAAAGATGTAAAGCCAGGCCCTAGGGGTCTCAGAGTTTGAAAGAACTAACCTGATATTATTGAATTTGTGGGGAACGGTGAACCAGAGCAAGAGGGACAGTGACACTACCGTTTTCTTCAAATGTGTAAAATGCCACAAGTAGCGAGGCTACTCAACTGGCCCTGTTATGTTCATGTTTTTACTGTGAAACATGACTTCCCATAGAGCAATGCTTTGGTGCAGTCACAGGAGTGAAGAATCAGGAAGCTCCAGCCAGTAGGAGCCTCAAGTTTGGGAGAAAAACATGAAACTCCCAGGTTGAGGCAGAAACTACTACAGAGGACAAAGACAGCTGTAAAATCTGTACAGTCTCTCTAGAATGAAAAAATAGATAACCAATGGGAATCTGTCTGATGGAAGGAGAATTGCAAACTAGTCTCTACAACGTGCAGATTCACAGCAGAATGAACTCAGTCACGCTGACCTACTGATATTACTTATTGTCAATAGGTACCACTCTTAAGAGTATCCATGCCTTCATCCACCTGGCAGGCATCAAAGCAAAAGAAAAGGAAGCTTCCGATCAAGCAGGGTTTCAAATTCACTGCTTCTCTTCCCTTCGGCATTATTTGATGTTATTTCAAAATCACACAGAATCTTTGCACCCCAGCCAACATGCTGACAACTCCACCGTCTTGCTCCAGCTCACACTCCATTGATAATTTTGTCCTCCCTGTCACCCACAGAGTGTGAGTGGCACCCTAATTCTGTACCGACTCTGTTCAAAGAGTCCTCTTATCAGACCCAAGGTTCATCAGCTCAGTACCCCCGACACAAGTAGCTCTGAACCTCAGACCCACTGCTGGTTCTTTCATGTGTCAGTATCTGGCGATGAACGCAGGGGTCAGCCTACATCCTCTGGGATTAAACAGTTACTTCCTGTACCACCAGTTCTAGCTGGATCCCTCCTCGATACTCCACTGCTCCCCACAGCTGCCTCCCAATCCTTCCTAATTGGTGTTAACCGCTATTAATCCAGAAGCCTCTGAAGCCACTGAGCCAGGCCTGCAGGGCCTCATGGTCAAGCCTGGATCAAAGGCAGAAAGACCCATGGGCAGTCAGGCAGCAGTCTAGCCTTTCCTCTCCTGCTGGCCCGCAGAGTTAGGGTGGGCCCTAACACCTTCACTTCCACTGAGCATAGAAAGTCCCATTTACTCACTTCCATGTTCAACCATTTTTCCTTGGCAGCCATTTTCTCCACACTCAATCAGGAGAGGAATATAGTAAGGCTACAACATCAGGTTTAATGGTAAATGTGAAACTTCTCAGGACTTTGTAAATATCCCTGTGCAGGGTCAGGTCACATCTTAGATGGGATACGGATGGTCCACACGGCCCTCAGAACATTCTGCTCCTTACCCACTTCTGTCGAGTAGATGGCACTGGATTAGGCGCATTTCCCATTTGGTTCTTGAAGGGATTGAGTTCTAGAACAGGAGCAGAGAGGCCCTGAGCTGAGAGGAAATGATTCTGGTCTTGGGGACAAGAGGGATGAATAAGCACTCGTGCTGCTAACACTTGTAGTGAAGGGAGAAGATAATGTATTAAATCATTGTCTGATTACTTCTCTCAGTGAAATAGAAGACAAAACTACTAGAAGGAAGGAGGTGGTTTGTAAAAGGTTTAGAGAGAGAAGCAAGTTTTCAATTGCACCTGATGAGAATTGCATTATTATTATTATTCAAATTGCGTTATTTCATTTACCTGTTGGAACACTGAGCTTCCAGAGTTAGAAACCCAGAAACCCACCTGTTGACAAAACAAATACAAAATTTATTGAAAAAGGCCTGAAGCAGTTCATTAAGCTATTGAACCAAAGGAAGAACTTCTGGGTATGGAAGCTGGGACCAGCCACTGCCTGGAGTCTCGGCATTGACCTCTCCGCTGTCCTGTTCTTGCCTGGTTCCATTCTTTTCTACTGCAGACCAACTCTATCCCGTTCTTACCCCAAGAGGCAAAGGGGTCTCTCCTTCTAGCTGCAGTTTGACAAACCCAAAAGAGGACACTGGATGGCCTGGCTTAGTCTTACGCCCATCCCTGGACCAGAAGCTATGTTCAAAAGGATGAGCTATTCTCTCTGGCTTAGCCTGCATCAGGTGTTCAGGGTTTGGAGTGCACTTCCAAAAGTTAAGAGGAGTAAGAAAAGACAAGGGGATGGATAGAGGCATGCTATGCACAATAAAATGCCAAAGTTCCTCTTTTAGGTTCTTGGACTCAATTCTAACAGGGGGTTGTGGAGGGGAGGGCTTCCCACATAACACCAAGCAATTCTCCAACACAAGCAGGGTGTCTAAGAATTCAACTCAATTCTGACACTATCTACCCAGAGAGAGCATCAGATTCCACAGGTTAAGTAAAGGTTCAGTCCTACAAGACTGTCCCCGCCGCCCCCGCCACACACACACACACACACACACACACACACACACACACACACACAACACTCAGGTGCCGGTCCCAAGCCCAGGATGTTACCTGTGCTCCTGACAGACCAGCTACAGATGGGAGGTTTACAGGACCTCCTCCCCAAGTTTGTTTAATTTGCTAGAGCAGCTCACAGAACTCAGAGAAACATTTCACTTACTAGACCAGTTTATAACAAAAGGATACAACTCAGGAACAGCCAGGTGGAAGAGAGGCATGGGGCAAGGTATGGGGGAGGGATGCAGAGCTTCCAGGCCTTCTCCAGATAGGCCACTCTCCATGTGTTCACCAGCCCAGAAGCTCTCTGAACCCCCAGTCCTTTTGAGTTTGTAAAACTAATAAAAGGAAAACTTACTAAAATGCCCTTGGGAGATTCAGCAGGGTGAGCTTTCATGCCCTACCACTAGTAGTCAACTGTAGACCCAAAAAGAAGAACAGAACTTCCACTTGGATATTACTTTACTATCCCAACAGGAAGAAGGAAAGTTTCCTCCTCCCCCAGCAACAGCCCAGCCAATGAGAGACAGTCACAGTTCAGCCAATGAAAAGCCACTATACTTAGGACCGCCAGTTTACTTCCAATGGACCTTTTGTTAATAACACCCTCCCAACATCCCACTTTCCTCTGTAAAAGAGCGTTCCTCTTCTTTGTTTGGCAAACTTGCCTATGGTTTTGCCTTAGATTCCTTGTCCCAGATTACAATTCACTGTTACTCCTGAATAAACCATCTTT